ACGAGAGAGAGAGAGAGAGGGGGGGGGGGGGTGATAATCTTTCTATGTGCTGATGCATTGTTTAAATTTCATTGTTGTCAACAGCCTCGCCATGATGACGATTATGATTATCATGTAAGTATTTGGTTCTTCTGTTATCTCTTCATCCTGGTTTACTCAACATCTTACGGATGTAATTCTACATATTTTTCAATGTAAAAATGCACACCTTTTGTTATTCACTCTTTTTGCATTTTTGCAGGACGAGCTATGAGTTCATTACCTGGCGTTTTTAAGGAAAAAAAAGGAGAGTTATTAAAGCTTCTCCTTCTCAAACTTCTTGTTATCCATACTACATTTTGTAACAGTAGCTCATTAGGTATGCATTTCTGTAATTTGGGACCAATATCAGATGAACTGTGCTGTCAGATGAACTGTGCTGGTCCTTTGTAACATCTCTCTCATCCTTCTATCTCCTGTTCAATCTCGTTATTCATACGACACTCTGCAACAGTTGCTCATCTTGTATGCATTTCCATAATTTTGGATGAGTATCAGATGGTTTGCTTTCATCCAATTCTATCTTATGTTTCTAGTATCGGTTCTATGTGATTACTATGTTGCTTCAATTGAGAGCCCACTTGGGTCATGTATCTCTGTATGTTGTTGACTCGCGTGCAGCTGCCCTCTCTCTCTCTCTCTCTCTCATTTTTGTGATCAGATGAGTGCTGTGGCACCATTGCATGCAAAGGTACTACTCATTTGGCTATTGGGGGAGAGAATGAAGATGCTTTGGGGGTGAGATGCTGCTGTAGTAATTGGTTGCGTATGTGAGAGTTCTGGTTTATTTCTAACAATAAAACCAGAACTCTCTTTATGGAAGAGAATTAAATTTTAGAGAGAGATGTTACCCGATCCTTGGCTTTGACCTTCTGCATTGTTTTATTTTTAACTTTTTTGTACAAAACCTTTGGACACCAAATATTGGGCGTTCACTCCTCTTAACCTTGCACCGATAAAAAATGTAAAACATATTTCTTATAAAATAAAATGATCAATGTACTCTTGAAAGTTTTAGGGATATTTAAGTTAGAAAAAAGTTTTAGGGGTATTTCAATATTGAAACCACATTTCTCAATACTATTTGAAGGTGGGCTCTATTTTGAATGTTTACAGGCTCGGCTTTTATTGTATTTTATTAAGAGTATTGTTTTTATTTTTTATTTAGGTTTTTCATTGAGATGATGGTACATATCAAATTTCATATACACATGACTCCTAGAAAAAAATTAAAAATAAAATATTGTGAAGCGTCGGATCTAAGATCAAATAATCAATGGCGCCCTTGATCTAAATTGGATAGTTGATCAAAAGGAAAAGTCTGTAAGTTCTATATAGCATAAGAAGTATAGAAAACTCTCTCAAGAAATTGCCCTTGAGATTGTTTATAAAGGGAATTTATCTTTTGTACATAGAGGCTACAATCATTTCCATTCAAAATATGTCAAATTGGACGGCTTGGGATAAATCACTAAGTCCAATAATTTTTTAATTCTTTTTTGGAACTATGTCTATTCATTAACACTCTTACAACCATCCATTTTGAAATTTAAAGGACAATAATGATTGTGACTTTCATGTCCAAAAGATAAAATCTCGACATTATTTACTCGCGACCGTCTTTTATAACCCCATTCGTTTAGGCTCTATTTGGACATGGGGGTATTTACAGAAAATGTATCTTTCTTCCTAAACACATTGTCAAGGAAAACAACAAAGAAATGCAACGTCTTCCACATTTTTGCATATGGAACGAAAAAGAAAAGTTCTCTTATAGATAAGGGATTTTGTGTGGGGTTTAACCAAAATAGTGGCCCAAAGCCCAATAATATTTCATTTAGCTTAGCTAAATTGATCAAAATGCCTACAAGAAAAGAATTATTTCACTTTCTACCCAAATTGATCAAAATCCTATAAGAAAAGAATTATTTCACTTTCTATCTGTTTGCAACTTTTCTAACTCAGAGCCGTTTGGATACCTGAAAGAATTATTTCACTTTCTACCTATTTGCAACTTTTATAACTCATAGGTCGTTTGGATACCTGGAAATATATTGTCTGTAAAATATATTATTGGTGTAATACATTACTATGTATTACATTACCTACAAATGGATTGTCACTGTTTGGGTTTTATTTAAATACAACTAGGAAAATACATTATTACTGTTTGGCTATGTTTAAAAGAAATATAGGAAATGCATTACCAACATTTGTTTTTTCTTTTTTGGCTTTATACCCAAAACATGGTTGAGCGTACAATCTCTATTAGTATGTAGTTTAAACGTTGTCCCCATGCTTAAACTTTATAATTGCATGAGGCATAAGAATTAGCTGCACCTTTTGTATGCCTTTGTGTCTTGACTTGGAATCACATGTTTTCAAGAGGTTAACACTTTGGAATAACATGCTTTTATTATGATAAGCTATCATAATTTTTATATTTTCTTTTCTTGTGCTAAAGCATCATCTCTAGCCAGAAAACTTTCATGGAAAATTCAAAAGAAACAAAAAAGTTTACAGAAATTTGGCCAGTAACCTAGAAGGCTTTATGACTAAATGAGATTTATTGGAGGAGAAATTATGTTGGGGCATTGGAGGAGATTGAAGAAGTAAATTAATTTAAAAAAGTTCCGAAAAAAAAACAATTCAAGCATACTGATTTGACGATTCTCTATGGGTGAACTCACGTATTTCGAATTTGTCAGCAAACAATAGCATCAAACAAGAAAAAATAAAGCCAAAATATCTTAGCAGAGAACCCAAATTATTATTTTTTGGAACAATAGCTACAATTGTCGTTGGAGATTTTTTTATTTTTTATTTTTTATTTTTTTTGCTGTTTATTAGGAGGTGAATAATGAGGGTTGATGGGGCTACCTATAGAGATAGAGATAGTTGAGGAGATAGAGATAGTTGAAAATAGTTTTAATTTTAAATTATTTTATAGTTAATGTAGATATTTCTCTTTCTCTCGATTTATTACGTGTGAGTTACAACTCTCTATATATATATATGCACACCAGCAACTTTCATGAATCAATCATCCTACTGAAATCAAATCGAGTAAACCCAATACCATATTGCACCAATCAATCATCCTACCAAAACTTTATCCATTTGCATACGTGCAAATTTCTTGACGTTAATCAACGTTAATCAACCTTTATCTATTTGCATACCTGCAAATTTCTTGGCACCAGTTCCCGTTGATGTCCGCCACGATCAACCGATCCAACCTTGATGCGATCCTTTTTACTTGTTCAATCTTGAAACACATGGAACCTTACGAATCAGGTCTACTGATGGAACATATTGCAGGCTCGGCGCACCAAAACCAATACATTGCTCCTTGATCTCAGGCATTTTCCCAATATTTTCAAAAAAAAAGAAAGTGGAAAGAGGTGGAGGTGGTCTATAGGGACCATATTATATGAACACTCTTAAGTTTTGATACAATTCGGATATGGCTTCTGAAAAAAGAAATGTATTGGCCCTAAAACTTGATGGGAAAAATTATCCCGATTGGCGGTTCTATTTTCAATTTTTTGTTGAAAGGAAATGTTTGTGGAGGTATGTTGATGCATTGAACCTGAACTGGCTACACCCAATACTAAAGATACCCAACAATGGAAGATCAACAATGTAAAAATTATCTCATGGATCCTTGGCTCTGTAGATTTGGTTATTGGAAGGCCAATGAGAGGCTTCCATACTGCGAAAGAAATGTGGGAATATTTGGAAAAAATTTATCAGCAATCAAATCTTACAAGACGCTTTCAAATCGAGTATGATATGTTTTCCTATAGTCAAAGCGAGAAAACCATTCAGGAATATTATGTTGGTTTCATGAACTTGTCAACATAATATGAATATGTAAACTTGAAGTTGCATTTAGAGCTCAATGAAGATAAATGGTGATATGAATGTGATGCAGTTTTTGATGAAGTTGCGCTTAGACTATGAGATTGTTCGAGCTAATATTTTGAATCGCCAAAAAATAGCAAACATGGATGCTATTCTTGGTGAATTACTTCGTGAGAAAACAAGAGTCACAACCCATGCCACCATTGAGGGAAAGAAGGATATTGAGTCTGTACTTGTAGCTCAACGGGCTAGAGGAACACCATTACAAAAGGATCCATATTTGCTGCAATGTTATGAGTGTAAAAAATATGGTCATATAGCATCCCAGTATAATTAGAAAATTTTTTTTTACTTATTGTAAACATGCTGGGCATATTATCATATAATGTCGAAATCCTTTTCGGCGAGACAACCGGGGATTCGATACACGAAGGCCTTTGTGCATGGCATACCAAGCTGCTAATGATGCCTCCAAGGGACTAAAAGTAGAGACCCCTCCATCCAGCACTATTTATGACCCAAATATGACAATGTCCCAGACATCAGATGATATTCGACAGTTGGTACAAAACTATGTATCTACGGCTATCTCTTCTGCCCTCTCCGCTATTCGTCAGTACACTATATCACAAATGGATGTGAAAAATGTATTTCTCTATGGACATTTAAAAGAGATAGTATATATGCGACCTCCTCCTGGTTATTGCAATGATAAATTTATGGTATGTCATTTGAAAAAGTCCTTGTATGGTTTAAAACAAGATCCAAGAGCTTGGTTTGAACGATTTTGACAGGTCGTTCTGCATGCTGGGTTGAAACAAAGTGCTCATGACTTTTCACTATTTACTTATCATTGTTCTTCAAGAATAACAATTCTTCTCCTATATGTTGATGATATTCTCATCACATAAGACATCTTGAATAATATCAGACACTTGAAAGAGCTTCTCAGTCGATCATTCAAAATGAAAGATTTGGGTCCGTTAACTTATTTCTTGGGCTGGAGATTCATTATTCCCCTAATGGATACATAGTTAACTAGAAGAAGTACACCAAAGACTTGATCAAACTGGCTAACTTATCTGATGAGAAACGAGTGGATATACCAATTGAGGTATATGTCAAATATAGAAAGGATGATGACGACAAACTTCTGGATCCTACTCTTTATAGACAACTGATTGGGAGTATATTTTATCTCATTATGACTCTTCTCGATATTTCTCATGCAGTTCAGGTCGTTAGCGAATTTGTTGTTGATCCTCATCGCATCCACCTCTCTGTTATCCATCGTATTATTCGTTTTTTATAGGGTACATATCATAGAGGTCTATTATTCTCTTCTAACTCTTTTCTCTAGCTACGAGCCTATGTTGATGCGGATTGGGCAGGATGCCCCGATACTAGACACTCAACCACTGGGTGGTGTATTTTTCTTGGAGATTCTCTCATCTCATGGAAATATAAGAAACAACAAATTGTGTCTAAATCTTCTGCAGAAGGCGAATACCGAGCAATGTCCTCAGCTTGCAGTGAAATTACTTGGTTGAGAGGCCTTTTACAGGACCTCAATATTCTTGATCGAACTCCTACACCATTGTATGCTGCGTCATACGTATTGCGTCAAATTTAGTGTTTCATGACCGCACACAGCATATAGAAGTTGATTGTCATTTCATTCGTGACAAATTTATGGCCGGAGAAGTTACACTCCCATATATTACCTCCCAACAACAACTTACAAATATATTTACTAAGACAATGACTCGTGCTCGTCATGACTATCTCGTTGACAAACTGATGATGTTTACCCAATCTCAGTTTGAGGGGGAGTGTAGAGATAGAGATAGTTGAGGAGATAGAGACAGTTGATGATAGTTTTTAATTTTAAGTTATCATGTAGTTGATGTAGATATCTCTCTTGATAATACTATATTAGTTCGTCATTATCAATAATTAATTAGCTGTATATAGACTTTGTATATTCTTGATATTAATTCAAATACAAAGGATTCAGAATTTTAACACTTCCGACGTTTAGCTGCTCGTTAAAGAATGTTTTTTTTTTTTTTTTCTTTTTCTTATGGTTTATTAGGAGATGAATCACGAGATTTTTTTTTTTTTTATATTTTTATTGTGGTTTATTGGGAAGTGAATCACGACATTTTTGGTAGAGAAACGCACCCGAAAGATTTTCCCAATTAGCCGTGCTTAATAGATCTTTTATCCTTCACCTCACGTACTAGATTTTCTGATTTTTTGAAAAATCTTGGGTAATCTTTTTCCATTTTCTTACTATTCAAGTGTACCTAAAGAATGGAAATGTCATATTTCCGTGTACTATATTTTCATGAAATAGATTTTCAGGTTCCCAAATGGACTACTCAACTCAACAAGTGTGTTTTTTTGGGTATGTTGAAACTGATCAAGGTATTTTGAAACTGATCAAAAGATACAAAATGAAGTGTTAAATTGTTTATTTTTTATATATAATTTAATAAAGGGTGTGGTTTGTATAGAGCCTAGGCTCTAAACCATCAAATTAGAGCCTACCTTCAAATAGTAGAGAGAAATGTAGTTTTAATGCTAGAAATCTTTATGATAGCCTTAAAATATATTTTTATATTTATTTATAAAGTTTAAAGCTTCGAAAATAGTGTAGATCAACAGATCTATGAAAACTTGAAAATTTTAAAAATTAACGGTCCAAAAATGTGTCACAAAATACACTATTTTAAAACTTGAAATCCATTTGTTTCTTATGTCTATGCATATTGATGTCGGGATGATCAATTTAAAGGTATTTAAGCATCAAACCAACCTCTTCTACTGAAATTTTTGAGATAGGTTCAAATTTGATTGTTTAGAGCCTCGGCTCTATGTAAACGTTTCCCTTTAATAAATTTAATAATTAAGTTCCATTTCTCATAAACAATACCATAAAGCCATTTACAATATGGTATAAAAAGGTCATAATTAGGCCTAGCTCTTAAATGTGAAATCCAATGATCAAGGATTTATCACCATATGTAACAAAATCTACACTTTGAATAGCCACATAGTCGAGCCACCAAATCCCAAACTTAAAAATTATTGAGATTTTCTTAAGCAAAAGATAGATGGTCTTGTTGTTCATTTTCTCACAGCGAATTAAACAATCTTACTATGCACTTTCTTTGAAATAACTGAAAGATAGGAATAAAAATTACGACGTGTCACAATTGTGAGTCATATTTCAAATAGGAAGGTTGTAAGAGTACCGTCAACGACTGGACTCAAATTCAAAATTTTTTTTATCAAAAGCTTCATAATGCCACTCAAACCATCTAATTTAACATCTAATAGTTAGAATAATTATAATTTTTTTATAATAATAATAAAAAAAAAGAGTATATAACGAGACTATTTACTTTTAAATACAAAATGTCACAACCATTGCTGTCCATCAGATTTCAAAACAGACAGTTGTGTTTACAAAATTCAAAAAAAATTTATTGAACCTTATAACGAACTTAACTAAAGATATATAGTGTCATGGTACACAAACCCTAAAATAAATGGTCTCAATAATAGTATCCCTCAAAATTAATAGGGATTATCCCGTTGATCTTAGCAAAGAAGGGCGAATGTTCATAGAGCATTGACACATATGCCCATATGAATGCCTAAATTTCCTTGTTAAAAAAGTACATCAAATTTCATCGACTTCCCTGTTCAATTAGTGTTGTTTCTCAGAGAAGAAGGTGACAATTTTTTCAGAGCCATGTTGTTATCCAGAGCTTCCACAATTCTTTCCCAACCTGCTACTACTAATGTATGTGTTCCAATGCTCTATCTGGTTACACCCCAATTGGGCCTTTTTTTTTCATTTTTTGTTCCAATTGTTTTTTCTTATTTATATTTGCTTTTTGTGTAAGAAGAAAAGCTGAAATTTTTCATAATTTGCACTTTTGTTTATTGTCCTTTGGCTCTCTCTCTCTCTCTCTCTCTCTCTCTCTCTCTCTCTCTCTACTACTTACTTACTTTACTTTACTTTTACTTTTACGTTTTACGTTTTAACGTTTAACGTTTAACGTTTAACGTTTAACGTTTAACGTTTAACTTTAAA